TTCAACTCACCTGAAGAGCTTATTTTTATTCTAAAGGCCGAGGTGTTTCCCAGAGAAACAATACTCTAATCTGTGATTCTGCAGCCTGGAGCTGCTCATTTAGCTTTTTTTTTTTTCTAAACTCAAAACAGCCTTTTAATTCAGCAGTGTTTTTTCATTATTTCATCACCTTCAAATGGGAAAATACAGTTATTTCGACACATTCTTTCCACATCCAGCTACAGGCAGCTTTTTCATTTTGTCCTGTTCATTTTCTAAGGACACTTACTACAACTGACAATTTTCTCTCAAGGAGACAGTGTTGAATGAAGTTTAGCACAGCTGCCCTGAGAGAAAAAAATATTTCAAAGTTAGGTTTCATTTGCAGATTTATTCTGTGTGGTAGCAGGGACACAAAGTAAGACTAGAATAACATCAGACCTCATATGACGATGGTATTAAAACTATAAGCTAGGCTGAAGACATGTGCATATGCAAGCAAAACATTATGTCATTTTGTAAGTAATTCAGGGTCAATGGGCGCATTATACTCTTTTCATTTTTAAGCTCAGTAGGATGTAAATTACGTGCAAATGTAAGAGTGTGAACCCTGCAGAGATGCTTGCTGTATGATTCAATTTGTCATTCCTGTTGAGAGGAAACCCACAGTTAAGGTTTCTGATTGTGTTCAACCTGCATGTCGTCCTCAGATATTCCTCAAAGCTATAACAAATCCAGACACGCAGACTGCACTTCAGACATACACGTCAACATCGAGATTCTCCGACTCCCTCTTCAATAAATTTGCATAAGTCAGCAACAAGACCCTCAACGACTTGACATTTTCAGCTTGCCATATTTAACCCATTTTTAAAGACTGCAACAAACAAAAAAGCAAGTTCAATTTCACTTTTTTTTCTGCTCAGCTGAGAAAACACTTCTAAAATTAGGCCTACCCTGGCTTTTAAAGACACAGACAAAATGATTAATGCTTTTCTGTTGAACCTGAATTACTGCAGAGCTACTGCATGTACCTCTGCCAAGCTTTTGCAGCTCATCTCCATTTTATAATGCTGCTGTTCTTCCCTAAAGATACATCACTTTAAATCACTCTACATGATTGAGGAAAGTATTTTATGATCGTGATGATTTGAATACTTTTAAGTCCTTGAGGCAAGAGTTGTTGGTCACTGCCAGAACCAGGCTAAAGCAGATTACCTTGGTGGTACTTCATTTATGATCCGGTGACGATGATATTCAACTAAAGCTACATGTTCACATTGTCACTTAGCTATTCAATGTAGCGCTAATGTAGCCCTTTTACTTTGAAGTTTAAAATCATAGCTCAAAGCAATATTTCTTTACATCAGACACATCACACAGAAAAGGCAACAGCAGTATGTTTTTTCCTCAGCCCGACCTAAGCACAGGATGAAATAATGATTTAATTGAGGCTGAGGCAGAAAGGAAAAGAGTGAAAAAGCATGTGGACAAGAGGGAAACAACAGTCTATTTCTAAAGCCAGTAATTAGAGTATAGATAGAAACCAGACTAACAGTCTCTAACTGCGCTCACTGCGCTGTGAGGCTACAGAAAACCAAATAGTTGATTTAGTGGTTTTGACCACAAGTCTCTTTATGGTTACTGCACTTGTTTATCCAAAAAACCACTAGATATGTGAGGGTTTGGATGAAGGTGTTGATTTCTTGTCAGAATACAGGGAATATTTTGACATTTTTGGGAGGAGGGGGTAGAAAATGTGATATATATATATATATATATATATATATATATATACTTATTTTTCCTATTCATTAGTGTTCATAGATATTTGCTCGATCTGTCCTCCATTTCTTTCTGGTCACATCCTTCCCTTCTGTTCCAATCTATCAGAGCAGAGGCACCACCGCTACAGAGAAGTGAGGGAATGCTTTCAGAGGACCCCGTGGAAAAATTGGACTTTTAGTTCATTCTTAGTGGCACCACTGCTTCTCCAGTACAGCCTTTTCCCCTCTACAGTGCAGTACGATACGTACGGCGCACACTGGCCACTTGTCTCTGGTGGCCTCTGGCTAATAAGCTCAACTGGCCTTAGGTGTGAGGCCTGAGGGTGGAACTTCCCGCGCTGTAGTTCAGCCAGTCAGCATTGGATGGAGTCTGTGAGTGGGACTGAAGCGGTTCTATGGCTTTATTAAAGTTATTACAATCTGGAGCACCATCTCTTTTTTTTTTTATTCCGTTTGCTGTAACACTCCTTGCTTCCTTGCTTGTCATACCTCATGCATAGCACTTATAATATGTGTGTCTAGCAATAGTTTTTGAGCATCAGAGTATGTTGGCACCAAGATGTTCCACTCAGCAATTTTTAACTATCAGCACCACTATTTATATTATTCAGAGCATCACTCCTGAAAGTATCCAGGGTTGCTGACAGGGGAAGAAGAGCAGCAGCAGCAGCAACTCTGAGAAGTTTACAGTACATCAAAACATCAGTCGCTCTATTTTTTTTAGCTCCCTATCTGTGTCAGGGTCACTGGTAGCAAAATGCAAAGCAGCCCAGATGTCCTGTTTCCCAGCAGCCTCCTCCAGCTCTTTTCAGGGAAACCTGAAGGCGCTTCCAGGTCAGCAGAGGATGAGGCTGTAATGAGTTCAGCCAGCGTGTTGCTTCCTGGTGGGCTGCATCACCACCAGGAAATGTCTGAGAGGCATCTTTTCTCAGTGTCTGAATCGCTTCAAGCAATAGCATTTTTTTTTTTTTAAACTCCTGCTTTTGAGGAGCTATTGCTTTCCATCTAAAGCTGGGGAAATGATTCAGGAGAACACGCTCGTACTCATCACAACCGAGTCACATTCAGCTACAAAGCCCTCCAGTGTAAAGGTTAACACACCTGCAAACTCCTTAATGTCATTGAACTACACGCTGCCTAGACCGCAGCTGCACCTTGATTACAGTCTGACCCAGGTGTTTGACACCTGCAATCAAGAACAAGCTTAATTTAATGAAGGCAGCCCCCGACGCTGAGTGTTTGACTGCAGCTAAATGGTGTGAATGTGTAAAATTGAAAACGAACAGTAGAATCTATTATGGTACATTTTAATTTCCGCTTATTTAAAGATTATTTAAACGTGAAAAGGCAAAGCTAACATAGAGTACTTGCCTTATGCTCTGGTGAAGAAATCAACTTCTGCATCTTGATATTAACCCATCACTTGGTGAGCGAGCATCATCTTTAGTCTTATCTTTTTTTTGCCAATGTTATATCTTTGTTGTAGATTTCAAGTAATTACGAATGTGCTAATAATAATAGCATGTGTCTTCTATCCCTGTTCAAAGCAGCCAGCGCCTGCAAAGCTGAACTATCCAGTAGGCTACCAACTGACCAAAAGTGACATCTGATTTCTACATCATTTAAAATGCACAGCAGAACACTGAACACTGTCAGCACATTGTCATGAATGTCACCAGTCACATGCTGTCATCCGAAGTGTTAACAGTACCTTTAGCTGTGGTGGCCCCTGGTGGGAATAAGACCTTTAACCCAACAATGCGCTTCCCCTCTGCAGCGCTCATGAGCAACAGGATAATTTTTTACTTTTGTTCCCCTTCTACAAAAATACCGCATTGGATGCTGGGGCGCAATGGGGAGGAAGGTGTAGTCACTCCAGAGGGCTCCAATGTGGAAAATGTAGTAGCTAGTACTCCTCAGGCTTGGCCTCTGTAAGTCAAAGTGACAGTGTTCAGCTACAAATAGGTAAAATGATGAACAGTGGTGTTTTTAGGTGTCATGCCTGTTATGAACCTCTCTGCCCAGCTGACATCGTTTAAGCAATTTGTTGTGTTTGTTTTCTGCCAAGGAAATGTACGGGGGGAAAAAACATGATGGATGAGCGCGTAAGAGGTTCAAAAGCCTCCAGTGCTGACAAATTACTGAAGAGAACAACCACCCAACCAACCAACCACCACATAGAGAGACTGGACTCACCGAGAGAGAGAGAGAGAGAGAGGGAGAGAGAGAGAGGAAGAGAGAGAGAGAGAGAGAGAGAGAGAGACAGAGTGTGTGTGTGAGAGGGAGAGAGAGAGGTGGTGGTGGTGGTGAAGCCAATGTTTGTCGTCGAACTCCAGCAAATATGAGGATGGGAAGATAATGGCCCACACTGAGCAGGATGACTGAATCTCCGTAATTATCAGTTTGTGTCTTTTAGTGATGCATTCTGACAAAACAACCCTGAAGAAGAGAAGTCTGGACAGCAAAGAACAAAGGATCGCTTGTGTTTTTTGGACATATCCAACCATTCTTCAGACTATCCTGATTTACTGAAGAGGGATGGTTACTGAGTCCAGTTTAACATCTTACTGAAATGATTGGATCAAACATCTCCATGGAGGAATTACTGGAGACTTCAGCGGTGTGTGCGCCCGCAGAGACGCCGTAGCTCTACACGAACCGTGATAGATTTGAGTACTTTTATGGAAATTGATTGGAAAATTCAGCTCAGCTGAAAAACATAAGGGCAGCAATAATACCACAGCACACATACACACACAGACAGAAAAGCCAGCGCCGTGTGTCTGCACGTCTGTGTGTCTCTGCAATAAGTGGCTGATAAAAAGCAATAAATTCTGTAAAATAAATACAGTCATCCGGCTGTGCGCCATGGGCGACGAGGCGTCAAACTTCAGGAGAAGCAGCAGGACCGGTGTCTCGTCACCTAAACCCAGGACTGGTGAGGATCAGGGCAGAGCGGAGATTCTGGGCTGAATTCAAACTGATCACCACTGAAAACAATGAGATTAATCATTCTTGGATGATTTGTCAGATTAGCACTGTGACAGTTTTTGATGTTATTCAGAAAACAAGCTTCAGATCTGGGCTGTGTTGGACTTGGTCACTTTGATTTGTTCGCTCAGAGATCAAGTGGCAGAGAGGGACATGAACCGTTTTGCTTTTGTGCTTGAAATAAAAGAATACAGCCATATTATCTAATCAATAAGTTAAAAAGGGATCTTAATTTTTTGCACTATGATGGAACCACCACCATGCTCGAAGAAGAGCCTGTCTCTGTCGCTCCCGGTTCCCCGGGAAGGACAGGCGACTCTGAAGCCTCCGCAGCATCTCTGGAGACAACCCCGGACCCCGATTAAAATCAAACACCGGGGGTACTCCGACACCGACCGACATCACCACCGGCACATTGAGCGCTCCGACGCCGTGGATACGAGCGACAGACCAGGACTGAAAAAGTCTCGGATGTCCTGGCCATCCTCTTTCCACGGGACCACAAACACATCCATCGGAAATTGCGTCGGGAATAAACGGTAGGCGAGAGAGAGAGGTGTGCATTCCAAACATCCCAATAATAGCCCATGACAGCCCACAAGGCATATGCGTAAACGGGAGGGGGTGGGGGCATTTTAATGAGTGCGTAATAACGCAGTGTGCCTGAAGGGTTAACTGATGTGAGGCGCTTTCTATCGGGAGGCGGGACGCGTGGGTTTTCGATGCTGATGCGTTATGCGTCTTTGGATAGACTGTGTCAGATGGGTATGAAGCGCAAACCAGACCGCCCACTCGAAACGCAGGAGCAGCATCTGTAAATACCAGTAACATTTTTAAGAGCGTCCGCATGTTACATGTGGTCGATAGGAGAAACGAGCCATAGTAGGTTTAATGGCACCAAAGGTCTAGTGGGTGCGTCCATGCGTGCAGGACTGAGATATTTGCCACCGTGCGCGCGCTCCAGTCCAGGCCTTTATCAGCTTGTTTGCAGAGGGAGGTCTGGGACCCAGTGCGCCAAGCACCAAAAGTTTATGTCTCTGTTTAGGTTTCACTTTGCTCAAGTGTCCTCCAGCCAGGCTGGGAGTCTCTTGACTCCAAGAGTAGCTCATCCTGACCTCTGACCTCCAAGGTGTGGTGAATGAGGTGAAAAGAGACTCTCCCCCTGCTCTAAATTAGATGTGACAAAGTTATGAAGTGCTACCTGGACCTATGTGTGCAGGAGTGTCACACAGATAGTTTCTAACTGGCACACCACGGCTGCTCTGATCAGACATGACAGTTGAAAAATTCACCGCATTAGGGAGCGGACATTGACAGACACTGGAGACAAAGAATTACATGATGCTTCAAAACTCCATCAGCCAACAACTCTACCAGCAATTAAATCAAATTACATGATGCATGTTTATCAAGCAGATTGGATTAAAGGCAGATAATCAAATGAGTCATGGAACAGTAAAATTCTGATATGATAAGTTTGTCCTTACACAACAATTGCTCCATTTATCAAGACACCGACTGCAGCACCTGGATGTGTTTTTATTGTTAAACAGCTTCTTCTCTGTATAGCAGGGCACATTTTAGAGAATATCTAAAAAGTTAAGCATGTACAACATGGGTAGGAGTGAGGTTGGCTCTTAATCTGACTCACTTTTGTATTTAAAAGGGGCGGGACTATCCCCGTTTCTGTGAAAGAATGTTAAAACAGTAAATGTTTCCAGTTTGCTCTATCTTCCACTCTGTCCTTTATGTGGACTGAAACCCCCAGACGTTCTTGCAAGTGGAAGAATTACCACGTTGGTCTCCCTTATTATCCCCCTCACCTTCTCCCAGTCACTGATGAAGCCCCAATGTGCTCCCTCCACATGAGTAACACATTAAACAAGGTGATTATTAGAGTAATAACACTTGAGTGTGGCGGGTCTCACAAAGGACTGTTGGGGTCCTTTTTTATTTCTCCCGTTATTGTTTGTCATCTTTCTTTCATTTTTTTTCTTCCAATGCCACAGACGGCCTTCCTGGCAGGCCCCTGGGAGAAGGGCCAATTCCAGCTGACTGGAGGAAGGGCTGATTTGTATTTTAGTCCCCAGGACACACACTGAGGCAGTCCAATCTTTAGTGCATTGGGACTGACTCTGCCTGCCCTTCTCCTTCTGTGGGCGGCAAACCATGAGAGGGCAGAGAGGGAGGGAGAGAGAGAGAGAGAGAGAGAGAGAGAGAGAGAGAGAGAGGTAATCTGATTCCGACAAGCTGGCTCCAACTGTGTGTGTGTGTGTGTGTGTGTGTGTGTGTGTGTGTGTGTGTGTTCATGTGTGTGTCTGTGCCTTAGCACATCCGTGAGGTGATGTGTACTATCTGTGGGTGTTTGTGCTACACACTGATCAGGAAGGAGGGTGCATGGAGGAATGGAGGCTGGTAGATGAATGTTGTGTGTCATGAGTAGTGCTGAAATGCTGCACACACTGTGTGTGTGTGTGTGTGTGTGTGTCTGTGTGTGTGTCTGTGTGGAGGTATTCATGAGTGGGCTGTGCACAGGTTAGTGTCTGACCTATAGCCCATATGGATAGCAATAGGCCTTGTTTTATCTGTCTTCATATCAGTGGGAGACCTGAGGGATTTCCAGTGTGTTGATATTATTTTCATTCTTTTCACATATTACAGCCACTGTATGTTCGGCCTCTCGTGTCTGAATAGAGGACGCTTCGAGCTGGACGCCGCATCTCATCTCGATTTATCAAGCTTTATGAACATCTATGCGGATCCAGCAGCTCTGAGTCTTTAGCTCAAGGATAACTTGCATTTAGTCCGGCCTATGGAAGGCAGCTCCGATGACATCTGCTCTCACTACTGCTGAATGTTTTTATTTACATGCACTCGACGTCTGTGTGTAAATATCGAAAATATGTCAAAAAACATGCGAGAGCCAGGAGTTGCACCCTAAATCCTGTTCATATTGACAATGTTAGGATCGATTCACTCAACAAACAATGGTTTTAAGCAAAAATTGAGGCTTGCTATTCTCCTGCTGAGGTTTATTTATTAACATTTTCAGCTTCGTACAAACACGATTTTGGCATTATAATGACAAATACTGTAAGATGACATTTATTAGCTAGGGAACATGAAGTGACTTTGTTGTTGGAGACTGGAAAGAGTCATTGGTCTTTGATTGGTTTGGCGCTGATCAATGCAGCAGATGACCTTAGTGTCTCAGGGAAGCAGGCCGTTCAATCACCGAAGAGTGGGTAAAGACCTCATCTGGAGGTTTTAAAGATCAATCAGCCCGAGAGCTGCTGCTGAAATTGTTTTCGAACAAGGTTCAGAGAAAAACAGATCGTGCCATGTTACTGTAATTGATACAGCTGCTTTTGAAAATGAAGCACTCCCAACAGTCACCAATCCAGGGATGGGTGGCGTACAAGAGGGATTCTGGGTGTTGTTCTGCATAATTGTTTGGAGAATCATTGTCTGCGTCTGTTTTCACTTGTCTATTTCTGTCTCTGTGTTGTATCCCACAAAATGGCAGTCTTAGTGGCAATCAGCTTCCCCCCAAAGAGTGTCAGTCTGCCTCCTCTTCCCACCCCCGGTGTCTTTTGTTCGACCGTCTTTTTTGTCAGAGGATGCTAATACGAGCGTATCAGTCATCAGGTCCCATGCCCAATACGCTCTGGGAAGTTCCAACACGAAAATGAATGACTGACACCGAACGAGTAACAGCTCTTCCCGCAATTCTGTTGCTATGGTTACATGTTTTGTGCATTCGTAGAATAGATTTCATTTACCCAAAAAAGGCAAAGCCTACAGGCACTCGATGGGCTTGACTGCATAAGTTGCCAGTGTGTGGCAGATCCCACTGGATATGCATTATGGCTTGTGTGTTTATAAGGTGAATAAGTGAATATTAATGTTCCGCTGCTGAAGAAGTGAAGTCTGCCGAGTTTAATCACAGCGCAGAGCCAGTTTCCTGTTCAGTCCTCAGCAACAATTTTTCTAACCGAAGCTTCCCTCCCTCTCTCTCTCCCTCCCTCACCTACCACCTCATGCATACTTTACACCTTTTTTTCTCTCCCCACGCTGGGATCCAGTGTTGATTTGTAAGCTTCTCTTTCTTCCTGCCTGACTGGCCGGCTGCCATAATAATTTAGTTCATAATGAGGTACAGCTCCAGTTAATTACCACAACAGCTGTATTTTGTTGTTGATCATACATTTACATTCCTACACTCCAGAAACAAAAAGTCTCATGCAGAGTGTATTCAGGAATTATCCCAACAAATGTGTCTTAATAGCGTTAAGTAATAGACCTCTTATCTCATTTGTGTAGTGGAACCATCTGTTTAAGCTACAGATTGTGCTCTTCTGTGAATACACGGTGCTTTCTCTCTTCTCTCAGCACTAATTAGTATCTGGAGGCAGTTCATGCACTGGAACGGCGCTCACTTTTGGTTGGCTCAGGCGGATCCCAGAGACCTCAGGTAAAAAATCCCTCTGAGATCTTTTAGCAGTGACACCAAACAGGTTGCACGCTCGAAGGGAATGTATGCGGCTCTCGTCCAAGGCACCTTTTTGTGTTTGTTCTCAGCTCATCAATTTGTCTCACTGGAGGACTCAGTAGTTCCCTCACAGGTTCCTCAGATACTGAGGCCACTGCTAACCACATTTAGCACAGTCAGTTTGCCCCGTGAATTGTCTGGAAACCTTGGCATCTCTGCATTTTAATTAATTTCACACTGATTTTTTTTTTTGTTTTGTTTTTTTTGTTTTGTTTTTTTCTGTTGACAAGTGTGGATGGGCAAGAATCCCAGCACGAGCAAACAAAGTGAGCCATGCCATCAAAAAACCAAGTTGCAAACAAGTCCACCTGTTACCCTCAAATATCTTCCTGATTGATGCAACTAGTCTGCTCACATTTTTTTCTGCAACAACAACATCCATCTCCATTCTCATTCTCCTTCCATGTCATGTTCATGTCCATTAAATACAGTAGCCTTCATGGAGCTTTCTGCCACATTTCATTATGTTCCCTCTGCCTCTCTCAGGATGTCGATTTTGATTATGATAAGCCTCATACTGAGCATTTTTTTCTTATCTAATAATATTGTTTGAATCACTCTTTTGTCCATAAAAAATACAGTCTGATTGCTGCATTTCTCTCTTTTTGATCCTCTATTCTCTCAGCGCTTCATTTCACCCCGGTGTAAATGGGGACTATTGATTCCATCTCTATTTCTGTTCTCTGCTTTGTCTCCCTATTGTGTGGCCTGTCTTGCTGGTTCCCTGTAGCTTCTGAGATTGTCTGTGATAGCCTTGTTCTTGCTTACAGCGGCATTAACACACAGCTTCTCTGTCATAAATCTATCATTTTCATCCCACTCTCCCTCTCTTGTCCACTGAGATCATCAACTGCTTGCAGAGTCTTTTCCCCCCTCGAAGCCATATCTGAATCTCAAACCTTAGTATCCCCAGTGGTGGAATGAACTGCCCACCACTGACAGTGCGCAGTGCCTCGTCTCTTCCTATAGCCTTCTCCTTAAAGGTAT